CTACAAGTGAGTGCGATGGCCTCACTTGTGGTACGGTCGTTAGTATGGATGCACAAGATCACAGTGTAGAAGGCCACTACACTGTGGAACCAGCTTCCGGCACCTGTGCAGAGACACAGGCTGCGCCGAAGGTTCACCACTAGAAGAGATCGAGTGGACCGGAACACGGATGCACACCAAGAAGGGTGCATCCGAGAAGAGAGATCAGTATTGTTCAGGATGAACAATACGTTGAAGCAAGATCGACTGAGAGTCGATCATAGAGCAAGCCAGATCGACTGAAAGAGAGTCGATGGAAGAGTACGTTACTGTGGTAGTACACTCACAGTCAGTACACGTCATGGAAGAAATTTCCAGCTTTCCTGAGAGTGATAACTCCCGAGGGAGTTATGGTGAGGGTGTGGATCCCCAACTACCTGCGGATGTGTTTTACCAGGAAATCACCGATACAGTGAATGTCTTGGTAGATGACGGATCAAGTGTAGGCGCTTATACACTTGATCTGGTTACACCTCCGAAGTCAGCTTTGGAGGTAGTCAAGTTGCCAACGCTAGAATCTAAAATATTCTCGCGAGATCTGCGTAGTGACAAGATCAAGCAGATCTGCGTACTCGTCATAGAGGACGAGTGCGTTGCCAATATTCGGTCGGCACAAGTGTGTGCTGGTAGCGAACGGGTTCTCAGTAGCTCATCGATGGACTAGCGTGTTCTCGATGAGAAGACCGGGATTGAGCGATACACGTCTCAATCTTGAGAGACTTTGAAGACAAATACTTTGTATGAGGATTTGGTTAAATTCAGGGATGTTTTTCCTGAATCCGTGCCATGCGAGCTGCCCAAAGACAAAGGCACTCGGCATGAGATCGAACTGAAACCCGGTTCGAAATACTGTGTCATGAAGCAGTGGCCACTGCCTCGTGAACAAGTCACAGCGATCGAAAAATTCTTTGCCGATCGCTTAGCGGCTGGTCATGTGAGGGAATCAACATCACCACACAGCTCTCCGACCTTCTGTGTGCGAAAAGCAACAAGAGGGTGGAGGATAGTGCACCCATTCAACAATTTGAACGCTTCAACGGTACCGGCTCAAGCGCCAATACCAAGGAAGGATGTCATCATAGATGGTATGGTAAAAAGTACCATCTTTTCGTCCATGGGATCTAATGGATGGATTGTATCAGATCCTCATGCGTGAACGGGACATCCCGTACACAGCATTTAGCACCCTCAGTGGTATGCTCTGGAAGTGGCTAGTAATGCCGCAGGGGCTAAGTAACGCCCTCGCAACGTTTAACAGATGTGTTACGAATCTGTTGCGATTTGTGCGCGGTTTCGCACCGAGTTACTTTGACGATGTCTTCGTCCATAGCCGGGCTATGTATAAAAAGACGAACGTGGAGGTTCATAGAATACACGTCCGGAAGTTTTTTACACTAATGCGACAGCATAAGTTGTTCCTGAACCTCAAGAAGTGTATATTCGCAGCGAACGAAATACCAGTTCTTGGCTGCATCGTGGGTTAAAATGGCTTATGCCCTGATCCGTAAAAGATCAAGGCGAAAGGCTAATGGCCTGTGCCAGTCGACGTCAAGGGGCTCCGAAAGTTCCTTGGCTTGGCGGCGTACTTGCACAAATACTCGCGCAACTAAGCCGAGACAACCGTGCATCTCTATCGTCTGCTAAAGAAAAACGAGAGGTTTTCATGGAGTGCTGAGTGTCAACACTCCTTTGAAGGCATCAAGAAAAGCTGTATACAATCGCTTGTGTTGGCGATTGCTGACCAGGACAGACCATTACATGTGGTCTGTGACGCCAGCAATTTTGCAACCGGTTGCGCGTTAATGCAGTATGACTCAGACGGCGTTGAGCGTGTCGTCTGTTATCAATCGCGTCAGCTACAAGCAGCTGAGCGTAATTAACCACTGCATGACAAGGAAATCCTTGCCATGAAATGTGCACTGGCCAAGTTTCGGGTATATTCCTTAAGAGTTAGGTCCTTCATCATTTATACCGACCATGGGTCGTTACGCACGGCCGTAAACAGTCCACACCTCTCGCAACGAATGGCAAGGTGGCTGTCTTATTTCGCGGAGTACAACTTCTACGCTGAGTATCAAAACCAGGACGACTTTTGTCGTCACTGATGCTCTTTCGCGTCGGCCCGATTTCGAGCAGACTGCTCAACACAACAGTTTGGGCGATCCTACTGTCGCGACACTAACAGTGAGTGTTCCGTCGTCGAATCTGCTCGACGACGTGCGAAAAGCTTACACAGAAGATGAGTGTATTCTGCGATTGATGGATTACGTATCCAATCCATGCAGCCAAGCTTTGAAAAGATTATCGTCTTAATACCGCTCTTCAACCGAACGGAATTTGGTTCATGATGGTGCGCTGTACTATACAGCAGCCAACGGTGACACACCTCGTGTCGTCGTCCCGCTCATAATGATTTGCGATTGCGCATCATGTATGAGTGTCGCGATGTCTAAACAAGTTGACATCGCGGTAGAGAAAAGACTTACCTCATCGTTAGTCGTGACTTCTACTGGCCCCGCCAGTATGAGTTTGTGCACAAATAAAGTCGTGCTTGCGAAGTTTGTCAACGGGTGAAGCCTAGTCCTTCATCCCGCGCACCCTTGCAGCTTCTACCGATTCCGGCAGAGTATTGGCAATCCGTATCGATGGACTTCGTCTTAAAGTTCCCCAAAGACGCTCACAAGAATACTGGTATTCTTGTGTTTTTTGATCGGTTCAGCAAGATGGTACATCTTGTCGCTATAACGGAGTCAATCATAGCCCAGGGCTGCGCTCGTGTCTTCATTGATACTATCTTCCGACTTCAAGGGTTATCCCGTGAGTCGTGTCCGATAGAGACCCCCGCTTTACAGCGGAGTTCTGGAAATCCGTGTCCCGTTCACTTAGAACACGTTTGAAGATGTCGACTTCTGACCATCCAGAAAGAGAAGGTCAGACGGAACGCGTCTACTGCGTCCTCGAAGAGATACTTCGAGGGCATGTCCATGTGGCAAAGTCACTACTCAAATTTTGTACGAGGATCGGTGGCCACACCTTGAAAGCGCCGCTTACTGGTGGAAAAGGAGGCCATGAGACTCGGCGATCCAATACGGAGGTGGAAGATGATCTTAACGGGATCGGCGAACCGATCCAACTGTCGTTAGACTAATGGGTATGGATCGACCTGGGACGGAGCGATCTGGAACGATTTACATGGAACAATCTGGGACAAGGATCTGGGACCGGGTGATGGGATATGACTCTGCGACGAAGGTGTAACATCTTGCAGAATGTTATGGGGCGATCTGGAACCAGACATCGGGATGAAGTCATACAGCTCATTGGAATGCCGGTCAAGAAGAAGTATACGTACATTGAAGCAGGCTAAGATCAGATCGCAGATCGACATGTTGTGGCAACGGTTTGTTGGAGAATTGACACATCTGGGACAAGGTGACTCCCCAAAGTGCATCTGGGACCAGGTGGTACGGGTCGGTGAATCGGCAAAGAAGGTGCAACACCATACGGATCGGTGATACTCTTTACCGATCCTAAATTGGGAGTACTGATTTTGGTTGATTATACACCGATTTGGAAGTTTTGCATACTCAGGGGAGTCAAGGAAACCGATGTCGAGACGTATGAATGAAGTTGTCGATTGGATAACACTGGAGGATGATATTGAAGCACGTATGAGGAGATGAAAAAGTGTTAATTGCCGATTTAGACCGGATCGACCTCCAACATCTCGATATTGGATGACAGATCGGTCATGTTCCACACTAATCATGAATATATGGTTGATGAAGATACTGGATCGTGTGGAATATACTTGATAGAGGTAGGTCACTAAGTGATGTCAAGAAGTTTCAAGCCGAAAGAGCCAGTGGAAGCTGTCCGAATTAACGGCGCAAAGTGAATTTGGACACATTCGGCATTTTGGGTCATATATTGGGTACTTGGGTGCCAAGAATGGGTATTTGGTACCATATAGGAGATTTTGGTCCATTTGGTGCTCTAGGTACGATATCGGGGATATTGGCGCTATCATTGGAGTACAGGGCACGAAATTTCGACACGTGGCAAGGGGGCGAACCAGATTCAAGGCGATATCGGTTTGAAGAGTGACCTATAGTTAAGAATAGGCTTAAGGGTAGGTTGGATAGTAATTTGGTTGGTTAATAAACAGACTTGAACTCTACTTCTTCTGCTCACGACGCACGTTATCCTCCCCTCTTCTCCAGGCAAGATTGATTTGGCTTCCCCGGCGGGTTAAGGCACGCGTGTTACAGGGACACAGAAGACCGATCTTGGATTGTTGGCCAAGATCGAGAAGAGCGATCCCGGGATATCTGGCCCGGATCGATCAAGTACTCACACTCAACTCAACTGCTAGGGTAGCAGCACACAACGGAAAAGGAAAAGGATTTTGGACACAGGATCGCGAGACGGCTCAAGTGGTCAGAAGATCTGGACAAGGCGTTCAAGACAAGACCGAGCAGGATCGAAGCGATCCCCTGGACAGATCGGCACGTTTCATTTTGGCGAAACAAGACACCGATCTACCCAAATTGCGCACTTCCGGCAAGATCGGCCGATCCCAAGACCAGATCGGACCGATCCCAAGGCAAGATCGACGCAGGACTTTTATTTGCTGAGTGAAGATTTCCGCACAGCAAAGACCCCGATCTCGAAGACAAATCAAGATCGGTGCGATCCAAGATCGGGATCGCAGAACCCCCGTTCGTGGTGTGAAGATTTCCGCACCGGAAGCGAACCCTCAACCCAACCTCTCAGCGAGATCGACATCTCCCAAGGCCGTTACGAAGAGCTCAAGCCAGCCCAACCGACGGGTACACAAGGTGAGCACAAGGTCATACAACAAGGCACGGATCGGAGTACCCCCTCCGTGAGTCGGCAAGTCTGGGCAAGTGGAAGATCGACACTCATACAAGCAATTTTGTGAGATCGACTTCACCACAATGGTGCGCGTGCCCGGATCTTCTGAGGCCTCTGGATTTCACCGTGAGTCCACTGGCGAAGATGTCAAGATTAAGCAAGAACCTGGGATTGAAGTGTCAGCGACAAAGGGATCGACGCAGACACGCAGAAGCACAAGATCCTCAGATCATCAGAGTTTTGGGAGGGGCTCTGATGAAATGAAAATGAAAGAGGAAGATCGAGAGATCGATCTGGAAGATAAACCTCAATTCCCTCCTAGGGTCCCTTCGGGGGCCACCGCAGATCGCTCTGCAAAGAGCGATCTGCTGGATGAAAATCCAATGGTGAAAACCAAATCGGCGAAAGCCAAACCCTATATCTTAGTCGATAGATCGCCCGACCTCAAGCCGAAGAGCACAATCGCGAGATCGACCACATCAGAACGATCCGCGACGAGATCGATGGGATCAGATGTCAAAGATCGCCAGATCGGCCGAACCGTGCAATCAAAGATCGGAGCCAAAGAGGAATACGATGAAACACCAGATAAGATCGCGATGCCAAAGACGGAACATAACCCAATAAAGATCGCGTCCATGGAGAAGGAGACGACGGGTGAAGCGCGGGAGCGTGCAAAATGGCAGTACTATTATGGCCAGTTGAAGACGCTGCTCAAGACGGACCCAGTGTTCAAGATATTAAGGCCCAAGGTGATTGGTCCTCTGGATAAGCCGATCTCGGTCCCACTTCACGGGACCAACAAAGTCGACGAGATCAATTTGATTTTGCAGATGTTGGACGACATGGGTATCTGCCCTGACGCCCTTAATGGAGATGAACTGCTGAGTTGCAGCTTGGAACAGTTGAAGGACGCGGCGAATGAGTTTGTAGAGATCATGATAATGCTGGTGGGCAAAGCGAATACTCCTGAAGACAAGATCGGGACGCCCTCGGGCTCGCTCCGTAAACACCCCGCGGGATCGCCCCGTTACGCCTCGGATGACTCCGAGAGCGAGTCAGATGGATCCATCAGCATTCGTCAGATGTCTCTAGGACCATTGGGTGGAAGGTTCTTAAAGGACAAGATCGGACAAGCCAAGATCTACGCCTATAAGGGACAAGCCAAGAGCAACATGCCGCAGAGATCGGCCAGTACCCGCACTGGGCTGGAGGATCAAGAAGAGGGCGATCTAAGTCGGTACTTCAATTCAGCCATGAAGAAGTACGAGGCGGAGCAACGTACAGCTCAGCGAATGAATCGACAGCCAAACCGCTACCTAGATCGACGTACTTTGCTCAAACCTTCACACGAAAGCCTTGACATGCCGGATGTGGAGATGGAGTCGGTGGGGTCGGACATTTACCAACATATCCATGAGGGGGCGGAATAAGACCCGGATGATCTATGGATGCCCGAACCACGGCGCCCTCAAGTAGCCGCGACCGGTGCGACTACCGGAGGGGGAAGTATCACGCAGAGGATCAGAATCTCAGCGATTTCTGAGCTGAAAGAATTATCAGGGAAGGATCGGGAAGAAGAAAAAGCACGGACCTGGATCGGCAAAGTGAAATCAGCGTTTATCCGGGACCAAGCACCGGACGAGGAGAGATGTCTGGTCTTCGGTGATCTCATGGTGGGCCCAGCCCGCTACTGGTACCGACAGCTGAGTAGATCGACGAGATTCAATTGGAAAGAATTGATGAACAGTTTTCTTGTGTAGTATGCAGGACACGGGATGTCCGCGAGCAGGCAGTACTACCACGCAAAGAAACGATCGGAGGAAGATCTTTTACAGTACCTGTATCGACTTAATGTGATGGGAATGCAGGCGAAGATACCGGTGATGACTGGATTGCCAGCTGCGCGCAAGGAACATGTCAACCATTTCATTGACACCTTGGACGACCCCGAGCTGTCCAATCAATTGCTACTGCTGAATGTAGAAGACGCGGAGGCCATGCAAAAGACACCGCACGGATATCAACAAGGGAGATCGCGTCAAGGGAAAGTGATGATGGGATCATCCAAGTTCAGGCAGAAGGGAACTCAGGGTCCAGCGCTGTCTAAGCCTGCACGAGCGGTAAGGATGGTCCGTACCGAGGACGTCTGCAGCGAGTCAGGATCGGACACCTGCGGATCGGATTTGGAAGATCGATTGAGATCAATCCATGTGGCTGCTACTGCGGATCTCCGTCCATACCCCAATGACGTTGCAGCAAACGCGAGATCGGTCGACCCGAACACTCGTCAAGACTATCAAGATCGCAATATGCCATTGAAGCCGTGTACTTATTGCGGATCGACCAAGCATGGAGATCTCGGTTGCTGGAAGCGGCTCACTTGCCAGAAGTGTGGGCGTAAAGGACACCCCTCTGACAATTGTTTTTTCGTGTGTCGTGCTTGCGGTGAGATGCACGACCCAGGGAAGTGTCCCATGGAGGAGTTCTATAACATGATCCGTCAGTGGTACGTCCCGAATAAGCATGCGGGGATGCTACCAGAGAAGGCCGAGAAGATGTTAAACTAGGACGCTCGCCAGGTTTGAATCTGGTACGAGCCGAGCGTTCTGGGCTCTGCATTATTGCATACGTGGAAAAAAAGAAGACAGATCGCGAGAGTAAGCAGGATATTGACGTGGAAACAAATATATATCGTTCGAAGTTAAAACGTGTCGCTTCCGTGTCCCATCTGAAGCGGATCGATGAGTACTCACGATCTGAACCAGCTATGGAGATCGAGCTCGCTTATGGTGAATCTCGCGGATACTGGAAACATTATTCACCCGGGAAGTGGTTCAAACAAGCGAAAGCCGTTGGCAAGATCAACAACGTAAAAGCTACTCTGTTATTTGATTCTGGTGCTGAAGTGTCGATCATTGACACCACCTTTGCTCGTGAGGTCGGTTGCAATATTGACGAAAGTCAACGACAAGAATGTATCGGGATTGGAGAAACTCCGTACATGACGGTAGGACGTACCAAGATCAAGGTGACCCTCGCGGGATCGCTGGTATACTATTTCAATGTATGGGTAGGCGATCTGGCAGGGCAAGAAGCGATTCTGGGTATGGATTTTATGGTGCCTGCTGGAGTGCGGCTCGATCTAGCGGATGGCGCGCTATGTCTACCAGAAGAAATCCGCATTCATCTCGCAGGACGTCGCCCCGCGTACGGATCGAAGATACAACATATAACGGCGAAGGACCAACACGTGGTGATCCCGGTCGGAGAGTCAAGGGAAGTGAAGATCGGGATCGGAGGGGCTAAGATGAAGTTGTGGGTCGCTAGAGGACTAGATTGGGTCCCCACTGTGATCTCGGGGTGGGGTAAGACGAAATACCTGCAGATGACCAACATTGGCGACCGTGAGATCATACTGCCCACCCACACTATATTAGGCATGTGGGTCGAAGGCGATATGGTACCGCGAACTCAAGGTTTGGTGACAGTCGGGTCAGGGAAGTACAAGGAATGGCAAACTCTGGCATATGAGGCTACGACGGATCGAGTGAACGAACTCCCGAAAGAACAGATCGGACCATTGGTAGACCGTCCTACGTATGCCGCTCCCAAACGCATCTTGAAACGTCCGTCTGATGCGTTACAGAACCTGTCTCCGGCGATCTCCACGGTAACGCCGCAAGCTAACGATGACGATTCGCAAAAGGCAGATGCTGTAGTTGCGAGGGAAGTAACGGTCAGGGGAGCCGAACTATCGCGGATGGAGAACGGTCATGAGATCGGTACCCAACATGCAACGAAGGGAGACCGCGACACCGGTCAAGAAGGGCTACGTGACAGATCGTCTCTACCGAAGGCTGAGCCGACTGACCGACTGTTGAAATTGGGCCAGCCGGAAGAGACGAAGGAGCCTAGAGAAAAAATAATGCTAAATACTGAAGACGTCGAGATTGCAGAAAACCAGTTTATCACCACGAGAGCGGAGATTTGTTTGCGGAAGATATCGAGCAGCATATGGCCGTGCTACCAGAGATGTCGGCGACTACGGAAGAAGTTACGATTGAGGACATTCAGATCGGTGATCCCGATGTGCCTCTCACCACAGATCAACAACGGCTCAGATCGCTGATCTGGAAGAGCCGTCACCTCCTCATGGGTAAAGGTAATGCTCTACCACCAGCAGCACGAGGCGCGATCTGTGATATTGATGTCGGTGGGACAGCACCGATAGCGCAAAGAGTGCGTCCGGTCGCACCCAAATATCGGGAGAAGCTGTCAGATCTCATCAAAGGACTATTAGCAGCCAAAATCGTTCAGCCATCCACGTCACCTTGGGCGTATCCGATAGTGGTGATCATCAAGAAGAACGGAGTGGATATTCGCCTTTGCATTGATTATCGAAGAGTAAACCAGCTGACGCGTCTGATGGTTTATCCCATGCCGTTGATCAGCGATCTGTTGGAAGATCTGGATAAAGCTCTATGGTACTTTTCGCTAGACATGGCTAGTGGATTTTGAGTCGTCGAAATGACTGAACGAGCAAAACTGATCTCAACGTTTGTCACACCGTTTGGCTTGTTCGAGTGGCTGCGAATGCCTTTTGGGCTTAAAAACGCGCCCCAGATCTACCAACGTCTGGCGGACAATGCGTTGTATGGATATCTCAAGATCGGTCAAAGATCAGCCTCTGATGGCCCGATCGACGTGTTCAAAGATGGAGAACCTGAGACAGATCGACGACCGTCTATACTGAGACGCCGATGTTACATTGACGATATTCTCATACCAGCCACGTCATGGGGATCTTTGTACAAAAAAGTAGAACGGTTGCTAACGGCATGTGATAGGTGGAATATGTCTATCAGCCTCACGAATAGCTTTCGGGGGTGCCGTAAGGTCGATTATTTGGGACATCGAGTGTCGATGGATGGTCTGGAGGCTCAGCCCAAGAACCTAGAGTCGTTGGTTAACATCCCGTTTCCTAGCACGCTACGAGCTATGCAATCCTTTCTCGGGAGCTTGAACTACTACCGTCGCTTCATTGAGGATTTCGCGGTGTATGCCGCGGTGTTGTATGAGTTAAGAGATCAAATTTCTTCGAGATCGGCCGATCTCAGCTTGCAGCAGGAGACGAATGCTCCAACGAGGGTCGATGGACGGAAGCCAAGGTTGCTTTCACTATGCTAAAAGCTAAGATAGCTACAGCTCCCATGCTCAAGCATTTCGACCCAGATCGGTCCCCCGTAATCGTGGTCTACGCTAGCAAGTGGGCTGTCTCAGAGGCCCTGATACAGGAGTACGATGGCGTGTACCATCCGGTGACGTTTACTAGCCGCACTTTAAAGCCTAATGAGCTTAACTACGGAACGGTTGAAAAAGAAGTGCTGGCGCTACTTCGTGTGCTGGATGTATGCTATACTACGCTTGCCTCGCGGGAGATCACTGTACTGACCCGACATTCTACGTTAGCCTGGTTGATGCAGTCTCGAGGGCTCAACGGGAGATTAGGACGGTGGGCTGCTTTGTTGTCAAATTGGACTATGGAGGTGAAGAAATGTGAAAGAGGAGAGGAAGAGATCCTGGGCATGTTAGCAGCGAGTATCACTCCGAGAGGAGAAGTGGAAGAGATGCTGATTGCGATCTCCCCACGAAAAGACTGTCGACTCAAAATATCGATGCCTCCTCCAACGGTGGAAACAGATGAGGAGTTGCTGGTGGCCAGTTTCGATGGATCGGCTAGGATAAAAAAGAAAGGAGGGTCGCTCAGTGCCGTGATATGGAAGTTACCCGAATGGACGATCGTGGCGGCCGAATAGAGATATGTTCACGATCTGACTGTAAATGAAGCTGAGTATAATGGCTTGCTACTGTGCTTTGAGTTACTCGCCGGTCTGGATAGGGGGCGAGTAATACTGTGTGGAGATTCCAGTCTGGTGATTCGACAGATGCGCGGTGAGATCGACTGCAAGGCACCGGGCCTTCAGCTTCTGAGACACAAAGCGTTGGAGGAGCTGCGGTCATGGCCTATTCACGAGTTTCTGCATATGAAGCGAGAGTGGAATCAGAGCGCAGATCGACTAGCAAGCACAGCATTGCAGAGCGAAAAGGGAAGAACGGTTGTAGCTGAAGAGAATCGGCAAGATCTGATGACTCTGAACCGTCTCGATGAATTGTTGAAGCCCAAGCAAGATGGTCAGCTAGCTCGGGTAACTGCGATCACGAGATCAGCCAGGAGGATACGTCATGAACCTGAAGTGATACAGGAGGAGATAGTACAGAGGATCAGGATTCAACGAATTGTCCAAGCTCAAGATGAAGAGCGTTGGATTGTCAATCTCAAGACATATCTAAGTGGCGATGTATCAAACTTGGATGCGGTAGAATTGAAGATGTGCGCCAAACTGACGCCGGAATACGAGACCGATGAGAACAATCTGCTATTTTTTTGCCCCATGGCGAAAAGAGAGTCAGAAGATCGCGATGGTTTGATGCGGTTGGTGATCCCTGAGACGTTGCAGCAGGATTTTTTTGCATCACTATCACACGAGTCTGGAAGGAGGCCATCAGGGTATTGGCCGAACCTATCAGAGGATCAGATCGCGATTTCATTGGAGAGGACTGTATCGGAGCGTTCAACGATATGTGGGCGAATGTACCGACTGTGAGACCGGGAAAGGAAACCCGATGATTCATGGGAAATCCCCGGGCAATCTACACGCAACCTATCCATTCCAGATCATCGCCATGGATCATATACCGTCGTTGCCCAAGTCCATCAAGGGGAACACCGAACTGCTCATTTGGGTCGACCTTTTCTCGGGATATGTGATTGCAAAGGCTAGCTCCTCTCGGACGGCACAAACAATAGCGGAGAATTACGAAGAATGTGTGTTTCGACGCTTCGGAGCTAGCGAGGCTATCAGGCACGATCGAGAACCGGGATTTATGTCCGACTTCTTTCGAGCCTTCAGTCGGATCGTAGGACAAAAACAGCGTGCTACTATGGCTTACAGGCCACAAGCAAATGGAACAGCCGAACGAATGGTGCAAACCCTGACACATTCGCTCAAGATGTACGTGGCTGAAGTTGACCAGCGAGACTGGGATGAGTATGCTGAGCGGCTCACATTTGCCATTAACACTGCACAAGATCGGATCCGGGGGGATACTCCATTTTATCTGATTCATGGGTGGGACCCGCGATCGACTTTGGAGGCTACGCTACCAGTGGGGAATACGGGGACACGAGATCGCGATCCAAAGAGTTGGAGATACAAAATCCAAAGACAATACCAGCGAGCCCGATCTGCAGTGAACGATCGTTTACAAGCCGCGATCCAGGAGCGAGCGGATCGACACAACGAAGATCTGGAACCACACGAGATCGAAGTAGGAACGCAAGTTTGGCTATACCTGGACCGAGTTAAAGAGGGATATGCGAAGAAGCTAGCGCACATGTGGCATGGGCCATTCCGAGTTGCGGACGTATGTGGAGATCATGCTGTAAAACTGGAGATCGCTGGAACCCCATATCGGTTATTTCCGATTGTACATATATCGAAGCTAAAAAGGTAAAGACGTTCCCTGAACGCCCGAAGGATCAGCTTACGACAGAGGAATCAGATCGCTTGGATTTCGATGAAGCTCTGCTGCCATAAGACAGTTGGGATGGAGATCTTGAAGAAGGGAAATACGAAGTAGAGGCAATATTGGACGTGCGATCTGGTAGAAAAACCCGTTATGGGCGAGTACACCGGCAGTTTCTGGTGAAGTGGAAGGGATATCCCGATCTAAGTTGGGTGGACGAGGCCGATCTAAGTTGTGGGGCAATCTTGCAAGAGTTTGAGCGGAACCGAGTGAGTCGAAACCGTTTCGACGTAATGCAGTCTCATGAAGGCAAGTCGGACGAACCTTAACAGTTCGAACAAGTATGCGGGAGGTGGCATATGCGGATGTAGGGGTTGAAAGATGTGCTAGACGGTAGCACATGCTGGTGGATGAGGTTTTTGTATGTGAGTATGGAGATAGTCAAGTGAAACCTTCCTGAATGATGTGGAGCGATGAGGATCGAGATCGTGGAAGCTGCAAAGAATTGAAGTACCAAAAAATAAGATGATTGAATGACTTACACGATTATGAAAGACGATCGGGCTTGGATATCGATCTTGTACTAAGACGATGGAGCAGGTTTGAACTTGTCCTGCAGACGAGGGATCTGCGATCCGGGATGATCCCAATAGGCGTTACGGAACTGGTTGCGCCAAGGATCCTCTTGGTCTGCCATGTCCAACGCCCCTAGCAAGTCAGCTGGGTCGTTAGAGTGCCCTAACCCTGGATACCAAACTCGGTCTTCATGTGGGCGCGGATAGTGGAGGAAGAAGGGATCTAGCAAGATGTCGAGATCGCAGTGGCCAGCGATAATGCCGCTGAGTATCATCTTCAAGAAGTTCTTCCAACGCGCTCCAAAGCGAGAACGGCGTTGTTTTCGTTGGCGCCAGAGTGTCTGCATGAACCGTTCAGATCGCCCATGAGCCGGAGGAATCGGGAAAGCATGAGTGGATTCCCACAGAGCTTGTCGATGAGTGGACTCAAGCTCCAGGTACCGATGACTCATATCACGATACCACCCAGTCATGGTGAATGATATCGGGTTCACTGGGACTATGATATTATCCCAAGGGGCTGTAGCGTAAAGAGCCTCGATGTGTTGCCGCGAGATCAGCCCAGAAGCCCAAGTCCCCGTAGGCGGAGCTCGTCCATGATTGTAGAAGGGAAACAGAAAATTCCTGGGCTTGGAGTAGTGGTGAAACAACAGCTCAATGGTCATGGTCCTCACGCAAACCATCGCGATCCGCGAAACGGACCATGAAGCGATCTCGGAAGCTACCCGTCGGGAGGGCGCCAGATAGTTAAGAACCCACCGATCCCGTGGTTGCTGGAGTGGCGGAAGATTGTCGAAGTCAACGGAAGAGAAAACTCTGTTAGCCACTTGGCGCGCCGGAAGGGTGATGCTGTTTTCGCTATCGGACGAATGGCGATCCGAAAGCGCAGTGGACTCCGGAGGCGGACTAACAGAGCCAGTCTCGCTGTGTGTCTCCCCTGTCGGCGATACCTACACGTCTTCTACGCCGCCATTATCTTGAATTTTGACTACGGGGACAGCCGCGGCCGGAGTGGATGGGTACGAAAGATAACGAGGCTTCGGAATGTCTGCAGAAGGCGAACGCAACAGTGCTTGAGCCAACGCAGTAGCTGCGGGAGAAGCGGGAACAACCCGAGCGGCCGGAGAGGGGTTCGGGGTCGAAGATCGGGCATCCGATCTAGGTTGGCGACGAGCGGCCGATCTCGATTGGGATAATGCAGCACGAGTCAAATTCATCGAGCTAGAATCCGACTCGGTCAGCTCCTCACTTCCCGATCCAGTCCCAGAAGCCGCGGACGAAAGCGGAGAACAAGAAGAATTGGGTGGAGGCTCGGGTGGGGACAATCTGGGAAGTTTGTTTAAAGGCATTGAAGGGTTCAACGACAATAGCCGGTAGGCCACACGGGCGGTGAAAGAATCTCTGGATCGTGACCTTGATTGAATACGCCAACGCTTGGCAGGCGGGCCGGACGATCTCGATCTGGACCTACGGGCAAGCGATCTCGATCCCGGGGTAGTGGGAGCAGGGGGCGATCCGGCCGGAGTAGCACTCTTAGGCGTCGATCGAGCGGTCAACGCAGACGACCGGGATCCGAGTATAGCACTATTCAGTGTGTCGAGGAGAGCACGGTGTTCAGCTATAGCCCGATCCCGATCATGCTCCAGCACCTGCAACTGGTCGTGTACCTCGAGGTGTTCCGCAAGCTGACGACGTAGGTTGGCGTTCTCCGCCTGCGAAAGTGCCAACTGACCCTCTAGGGGAGTCAAACCATCCACTTGTTGTATGAGATCGCTGATCGAAGACAGTCCATCTGCGATCTCCTCCTGAGACTGAGCCAATTGCTCCTTCAAGTGCAAAATATCTATGTGAAGGAAGGACCTGTCCATGGTCAGCTGATCACGCTGCTGTCGGAGAGAATTGAGTTCGGCTTGGAGCGAATGAAGTTGAGCCCTCAAAGCATCCACCTGTCGTTCCAAGTTCCCCTGAGCCTCGTCATTGGCACGTATCAAAGTGCGTAGCCGACGAATCTCCTCCGATTGATCTCGATATGTCCGCAGAGCTCGATTGCAATCACTCAAAGAATGCACTGCGTCGACGTAGCGGCCCTGCATCCAGTCATATCGACACTGGACAAAGGAGACAAAAGGGGCGGCTGATCTGTACAGCGAATCAAGCTCGTCTTGTAAGCGATCCTCCCGGGCGACGGCATCTCGGTAGGACTGCTGAAGCGCATGAATGTTGTCGGCTTGGCTGCAGAAGGTAGCCTCTCGATCCCACAAATACGAGATCGTGGCCATCGTGAGACGAACGTCGTCGGCAGAAACTCTGGGAACGAAGCCGGTGACGCCCACAGCTGGAGCAGACCTTTCACGAGATTCATTAGCGGCCGGGATGTCGGATCTGGACGCATCTGGGGCCGCCGGAGGAGTGGGAAGCGGGAATGGCTCGGAAGAACGATCTGATAATTCCGCGTCGGTCGAGAGCGATCCGACCGATCTGAGATTACTGAGAGACTCATGTTGACCTGGGACGATAGGAGCATACCACCCGCGATCCGGCGATCTAGATGGCGAGTCTCGGGATGGAGACGAGGGTCTGGTCGGCTGTCGATCTGGCGATCCCGTGGGGATTGTGGGCGATCCGGTTGGGCCTAGATGGCGCGGAGACCCAGGCCGATAGGGGACCGCTGGGGTGTGTCCTCCGAGATCGGGCGATCCGGGCGACAGGTCGCGATCCGGAGACAGAAACATGCTGGATCCTTCTGAAGAGATCGGCGAGGTGGGTGGCGTCGGAGAGGCCATGAGACGGACTTGAGTGCTTGGAACGAAGTTGATGAGTGACTGTACTGAGGTCAATTGCTGTACAAAAGACTTCAGTACATGGGGCGGTTGTGGCAAAGTCACTACTCAAATTTTGTACGAGGATCGGTGGCCACACCTTTAAAGCGCCGCTTACTGGTGTAAAAGGAGGCCATGAGACTCGGCGATCCAATACGGAGGTGGAAGATGATCTTAACGGGATCGGCGAACCGATCCAACTGTCGTTAGACTAATGGGTATGGATCGACCTGGGACGGAGCGATCTGGAACGATTTACATGGAACAATCTGGGACAAGGATCTGGGACCGGGTGATGGGATATGACTCTGCGACGAAGGTGTAACATCTTGCAGAATGTTATGGGGCTATCTGGAACCAGACATCGGAATGAAGTCATACAGCTCATTGGAATGCCGGTCAAGAAGAAGTATACGTACATTGAAGCAGGCTAAGATCAGATCGCAGATCGACATGTTGTGGCAACGGTTTGTTAGAGAATTGACACATCTGGGACAAGGTGACTCCCCAAAGTGCATCTGGGACCAGGTGGTACGGGTCGGTGAATCGGCAAAGAAGGTGCAACACCATACGGATCGGTGATACTCTTTACCGATCCTAAATTGGGAGTACTGATTTTGGTTAATTATACACCGATCTGGAAGTTTTGCATACTCAGGGGAGTCAAGGAAACCGATGTCGAGACGTATGAATGAAGTTGTCGATTGGATAACACTGGAGGATGATATTGAAGCACGTATGAGGAGATGAAAAAGTGTTAATTGCCGATTTAGACCGGATCGACCTCCAACATCTCGATATTGGATGACAGATCGGTCATGTTCCACACTGATCATGAATATATGGTTGATGAAGATACTGGATCATGTGGAATATACTTGATAGAGGTCACTAAGTGATGTCAAGAAGTTTCATGCCGAAAAAGCCAGTGGAAGCTGTCCGAATTGACGTCGCAAAGTGAATTTGGACACATTCGGCATTTTGGGTCATATATTGGGTACTTGGGTGCCAAGAACGGGTATTTGGTACAATATAGAAGATTTTGGTCCATTTGGTGCTCTAGGTACGATATCGGGGATATTGGCGCTATCATTGGAGTACAGGGCACGAAATTTCGACACGTGGCAAGGGGGCGAACCAGATTCAAGGCGATATCGGTTTGAAGAGTGACCTATAGTTAAGAATAGGCTTAAGGGTAGGTTGGATAGTAATTTGGTTGGTTAATAAACAGACTTGAACTCTACTTCTTCTGCTCACGACGCACGTTATCCTCCCCTCTTCTCCAGGCAAGATTGATTTGGCTTCCCCGGCGGGTTAAGGCATGCGTGTTACAGGGACACAGAAGACCGATCTTGGATTGTTGGCCAAGATCGAAAAGAGCGATCCCGGGATATCTGGCCCGGATCGATCAAGTACTCACACTCAACTCAACTGCTAGGGTAGCAGCACACAACGGAAAAGGAAAAGGATTTTGGACACAGGATCGCGAGACGGCTCAAGTGGTCAGAAGATCTGGACAAGGCGTTCAAGACAAGACCGAGCAGGATCGAAGCGATCCCCTGGACAGATCGGCACGTTTCATTTTGGCGAAACAAGACACCGATCTACCCAAATTGCGCACTTCCGGCAAGATCGGCCGATCCCAAGACCAGATCGGACCGATCCCAAGGCAAGATCGACGCAGGACTTTTATTTGCTGAGTGAAGATTTCCGCACAGCAAAGACCCCGATCTCGAAGACAAATCAAGATCGGTGCGATCCAAGATCGGGATCGCAGAACCCCCGTTCGTGGTGTGAAGATTTCCGCACCGGAAGCGAACCCTCAACCCAACCTCTCAGCGAGATCGACATCTCCCAAGGCCGTTACGAAGAGCTCAAGCCAGCCCAACCGACGGGTACATAAGGTGAGCACAAGGTCATACAACAAGGCAAGGATCGGAGTACCCCCTCCGTGAGTCGGCAAGTCTGGGCAAGTGGAAGATCGACACTCATACAAGCGATTTTGTGAGATCGACTTCACCACATAAACGACATCGTCAAAGTTTGCGTCGACGAGTACCTTGACGCGTGATGAGCTACAGCCAGAACGGGAATTTTCGACAGAATAACTTCTTGAACCAACGTCACACATTTAGTTGGCAGGTAGGTGTGGATGGCGCAAGCCATTTGCGAATAGAGGTATTGCGTTGTAGACGATGCACCGTGTTGTCATTTGCAATCTAGATCATTGGCGAGAAGTCTCTTTAATCTGAGAAAGATTGGACGTACCCTCGAAATTGTTTTACGAGGACGCGATTAAAGCATTCCATTAGAAGATCTGCACCTAATTGGTCAAATATTGACATGGTCAGGCGCGTCCCGAGTAGTCAGAACACGGATTGCCAAAATGCAGCCATGAACCGTGAATATCGATCATAGACTAGTGTACGGGGTAGACAGCGGAGTCGAAAGAATGTGTCAATAAAGATACGGTCACAGCCCCGTGATACGGTAGATTCTTTAACGGTAGCAAGGCGCACCATCTAGCTAGATTGATCAACGAACACAGTAATACCATGTTATTTGTGTGCTTCATCGTCAAACCCGAAGGTAAATTCCATTAAACAGACTTCCAGCGCTCTGTCGGGTTGTAAGAGGCTGTGGTGGTGAACGAGATAAAGGCCATGCTTCAACGTTTGGTACACCTAGCAAGAACGAATGTATCTGCGCTGTTGGAAGCGGAGTTGTCATAGCGGATACTTCCTTCCGGTTCAACGCCCCAGATTTCATGTTTTGTAGTTATTGTGGGTAAAATGTGTGGTTATGCTAAGTTCTCGAAGGTTATAAGTCTCTTTTGCGTAGGATACAGAAAGATATCACTTTAAATTAGATAATCCACTCAGGAGGACCCGGCAGGGGGCCCAAACGCGTCTGGCGCGCGGTTTGAAATAAAAGTCATTTACCTTGCTTTTTCTCTTTCCAACATGCGCACGAACTGACACTGGAGGGGCCAGTAAAAGTCGCGACTTACCGTAAGATTAGTCTTTTCACGCCTACGATGCCCACTATGTGGTGCATCGTGAAAATTATAAAGAATGCGTAATTTTAAATCATTATGAAAGGGAACGGATAAAAGAAGAGTGTTGCCGGTAAAGTCTGCGTACAGCAACCCGTAGCGTGTTATGTACAGTTTCGCGGATAATCGATATAAGGCTAGTAAATTGTATTAAAAGATTTACGAGATGGATTGACCAGATGATCCACTGGTCGCAAAAATCCCATTTTCTTCGTAATTCTTCTTTGTGTCGTCAACCAGCGTTATCGAAGAAGCACTAGCGACTAGTGTTGTAACATCTGAATCGACCTTACTGTTGGGGTGCACAGCCGACTCTAGTTCGGTTTGGCGCCAACGACGCATCCGCGTCGACATTAATTCTCCTGGTTTAAATCCTACTTAAAAAGGCTGTACTGATTGTAGAAGGGCATCGACCTCGCCATCTTTTGCGAAAGTCGTGGGCTGTTTACGGCCGTGCGTAATGAAGCAGGGTCCGTATAGACTAAAAACGGCATATCCCAAAGGAGATAGACGCGAAACTTAGCCAGTGCGTGCTTCATTGCAAGGGGTCCCTTGTCATGCACTGAGTAATTAAGCTCAGCTGTTTGCAGCTGACGCAATTGATAAAAGACAACGCGTTTTGAGCCGTCTACATCATACCGCATTAGTGCGCAGGCAATTGCGAAATCGAGTCACAGATTCCATGGAATGTTTTGTCTTGGTCTACAACTGCTGAGATGGGAGATTGTATCAAGCTCTACTTTATAACTTCGAATGAACGCTGACAATCAGCGTTCCATGACCACTTCACGCTATTTTTTGAGAGAATAAGAAGGATGCGCAGTAATATCGACGTTATTGCGCGATTAATTGTTCAAGTATGCCGCTGGACCAAGGAACTTTTTAAGTCCCTTGACAACGGTTGGCACAATCCCGAAAGTGATCGCCTTGATCTTTCCTGAATCAGGGCGTGCGCCGTGTTTGCCCACGATGCACCCAAAAAGTTAAATTATGCTAGCCGCGAATATAAACTTCTTGAGGTTGTATACAACTTTTGTTTCCGCATAATTTAAATAACCCGACAAGCTTGTGTTCCGTAAACCTCTACGTCCGTCTTCCCGCGTTATCCTGGATATAGACGAACACATTTTTAACGTAACTCGGTACAAAATCCCGCTCCGGTCTTAACAGATTGTATCGCATATGTTGAATGAGGCAGGACGGATACTCATCCTCTGTGGTATTAGCATCCAACCCAAAGCATGCCTCTCGTGGTGCTTACTGCTGTGCACGAAATTCCCTGTTTACTGAATAGGATCTGATAAAAGCCATCCATCAGATTAGTGGACGAGAAGATGGTACTCTTTGATATGGCATATTTGATGACGTCCTTACTAGGTATCGGCGTCTGAGCCGATACCGTTGCAGCATTCAACTTGTTGAATGCATGTACTATATGTTACCCTCTTGTGGCATTGTGCGCACAGTATATCAGAGAGCTGTGAGAAAAAGTTGAATCGTTCAGATGGCCTGCTGCAAAGCCATCAGCAAAGAACTTTTCGATCGCAAGTATTTCTTTACAAGGGAATGGTCACTTCTTCATAACACATTACTCAAAGACCGGTTCGAGCTCGATTTCATGTCGAGTACCTTTATCTTCAGGCAATTCACATGTTACGAAATAAGTGAACACATCCTAGAATCTAATCAAATCCTTATTTAAAAATTTGTCTGAAGCGACTCCCAGGATTAAGATGTGTCTCGTTCAATCTAAGTCTTCTCATCGAGGACACTTTTGCCCATCGATGAGCTGCTGAGAACCTGGTCGTTCTCAGCAAATACTGCTGCCGATTGAATGTCGGCCATATACTCATCCTCTGTGACGAGTATGAATATCTGCTCGACATTGCCACTAATCAGATGGCATCAAACATCAAAAAATATAAGGATGAAAAAGCAGAAACCGTTTCGGCTCCAGCGTTAGCAATCGAGTTATCTCCGAAGTAACTTCGGACGCACAAGCTGATCAGGTGTATAACCTCCTACGATTGGTCTGTCATTTACCAACATATTCAATTTCTCAGTCTCTTCTTGGGAAGTTGATTCCTCAGTTGCTGATAGCCTCTTCTCTCAGCATGTAACGCTTGAGGAATTATCCCCTCAAGTACGTGAAGCCTGATTCCTTGACGTCTTTTGACTGTGGCTGTGCAACCACAGTCAGGTATCGATTTTCTATGGTCGATTCTCCAGTTGAGCTAGTATGACCGTGTTGCTCTTTGGCGACAGCGCGTCCCTTTTTTCTATATGTTGTCCGCTAGGCATGCATGTATGTACCGGTCCACTCGACTGATTCGAGTGATTGACCTTCAACGCTACCTGTACTTCAGTAAAGCCGCCGGGAGATTGCTCCACAGTATAGAGATGAGCTACACTGAGGTCTTGTGTAGTCGTGCTAACGACCGTACCACAAGTGAGACCATCGCACTCACTCGCAGTACATCCACAAGCTAGTGGACGCTTTATGACTTTCATCAGATTGCCATCGGATGAACAAGCGGCAGGCATCTTTACGGATCGATGCTGCCAGCTCAATCTTGTCTCGTAATTTATGAGCCAAGATAATCTTAGGATGGTATCAAATTTATCATCTAGATCCAGCACAGCAAAGTCATCATTGTACTGTTCGCCCTCTAGCGTGTAGTGAATTCTATTACATGTTTCTCAAAGGTTATAGAATCTCCCATGGCAAGGCGCACCGTCATCCTCGTTGAAGGGATGTCGCGCTCAATGAACTTGAGCCTACAGTCCTCTAGCGACTTGTGATGAACAAAGTTGTTCAACGCCTCACAGTCGACCAGGGCACGAAGTGACAAATCATTTGCCACTTGCAACTCCTACGTGATGAGGGATACATTATCAACAGGTACAGAGACACATCAAAATTGCGTATCTGGAGCAACTTTAGTTAAGAGATTTAAATGTTGAGGTTGCTGGATCAGTAGGACTCTCCGCCCCTACTGACCCCGACCATTTTCTTATGGTCCGCTTCGCTGTTGTGGTTTCGAAACATCGTTAGAGCTACACCCATTGTTCTTTATGGCAAGAAATCGATCAATTCGCTCAGTATTGTTTAGTTTTGGGCGTGGGCACTAAACTCACAGGCGAAGTGTCACAACTTCTGGCAGCGATTGCACTTCTGCAATTCTTGTTGTTTGAATAAAGAGGTCTCTTGCTCTCGACATTGAAGTAGTTCGTTACTTCTAGAATTTAAAAATCTTATTGTCTTGGTAAATTATTAGAGATCGTGCTATCATGAGCATGTCATAACGTAAGTTCTTCCTGTTCCGCAGCCGAGATTGCCGGTATAAGCGCGTCAAACTATAAGCGGAACAGGTGGTCCCTGACAGGCCCATCTGCGATCCCTTGCATGAACACAGTAATCAACGTGCTCATGTACTGGGTTATCATTTATATCACTCGCGAAGAGTCGTAAATGTTGAGCGTAAGCGTGCACATCACGCTTACCCTACTTGAGTTTTAGAAGCTCTGATAAAGCCCTGGACTCAGCTCGTGGTAGCTCAAACGTCTGTTCGAGTCAGACTTTAGTGGCTGCCAGCGACTCAAAAGCCTATTCCAGCCCTAAGGCCCGAGTATTGGCACGGCCCGCCAAGCCGGTTTGAGCAAATGTGAGCTTTGTTTGCTCGTCGACGAAACAATGTGCTTTATGGCTCTTTTTTCCGATTTCGACGAAACATAGCAGCAGGGAGTCTTCCTCGACTCCTCTTTACTTGTAAATGTCTTTCCTTGTGGTTTCAGGCCGACGCTGACGCATCGCCCGTGACATGGCAGTCTGCGCCTGCTGTTGTCTCAACAGTTCAACCTGTTGAGCATACTGTTCTCATTAGCTCTGCCTGTTAAAAAACCTTACGGATGAATCAAGGTTTTTTTATGCCGAGTAAAGTTCATGTCGTACGAACTTGACGAGGGCGACATGCTGCTGTCCAGTGCGGACAGCATGCAAGATATGGCGTGTCTGCCGACAATCGAACTCAGTCGTTCGACCGCACTCCATTTGATGTAACTCAAATAAGAGTAGCTTTCACTCGTGGCATAAGCTGTTACTATCATCATCCAGAATGTTCATGTTGGATGCTGGAATTGCGGTCCTTGGACGGACTACACAGTGCTACCAGGCGTAACGGGTCAATGGTCGCTAGTACTGCTTTAGTATCAGTGCACATACGCTGACAGCATTGTAGGTAGTGCCGCGCGTCACTTCACGTACACATTACGTGCTGAGGAAGGCTAGTTTTTGAACGACGCGTTCGACAAAATTAGACAATAATGCTATATCAAATTTGGTTAAGTCCTGATTGTTAACCTATGATTTAGTGTTAACTAAAACGATCATCTACCGAAATGAATTCCGAAGTCTTGCTCACCGCTCACTGTGCTCGTCCATCGTTGATCAGGCCGCTAGATCTGACTGATATAATGGCCCAAAATAGCCAATCGGTGAGTGTTTCTGGATATTACCCCTCATGGTAACATGTACAAAAATTATCAACCTTTATAACAATATTCTGATTACCAAGTATCAAGGGTTGATTAAATGTAACAGGCACGCCCCAGATCAAACCTCATGATGCTACAACAATCACAGATACTACGGCAAAATCCTTGCAACAATTCGAGGTGCGCGTGCGATGCTATGCCGAAGTGATATCGTCCCACCTCCGAAAATCATTACATGAGCTGACATGTCCCGTGCACTCATCAGATTCGCACGAGAATCCAGTGTTGCTAACTAAGCTTGACATTTATCACTCATCCTATTATCGCGAACGGTTCATTAGACACCCTACCACTTCTAATAACAATTAAATCGACACCCATTTAAAATCCCATCAAACAAGCTCGTGAGCAATCGGTCGCAGCAGGCAAAAAAAACAACACCTTAGTTCCAATCCGGTCGACCAACATAGTGAGTTTCACTCCATCACCAGCCAATCACTCTGCCATTGCGCTGCAAGTCCAGAGATCCAGAGGGGCAAGACCATCACTCTCTCTCTCACTCTCGCTCGGTCATGACGGACTCAACTCCGCGCTCTTGTCCCGTGTGCCTCCAGGCCTTCGCGCCGTCTGCAAACGCCTCGTCCTTCGCGCTGCACGTCGTCTCCTGCTCCTCGTCGCCTCCGTCCTCTCCCTCGTCCCCGTCCTCCTCCTCTACCACCGCTTCACACTGCACGCGCTGCCTCCACGTCTACGCTGCGAACGCGCTCGCCCACGAAAAGTTCTTCCACGAGCACGAGTGCGCGCGCGTCAACGCGTCCGGACCGGCCGAAACCGACGACTGCGACGTCTCGCCGGACGCCACGCGCTCGCCCAAGCGCCCGCGCCACGACCGACGCGCGTCCCTCGTCTCGCTCTTCCCCTTCACGTGCTTCCTCTGCGGCACGAGCGGCCGCGGCCTGTTGCACTGTCGAGGCAGCTGCGCGCGCGCTGCCCACGAAAAGTGCGTCAACCAACTGCAGCCGCCACCACTAGGAGCAGTTGCAACAGCAGGAGACACAGCCGCCGACCAATGGACGTGTGCGCAGTGCGTCCGGGGCGTGCACAATTGCCGTCGCTGCGGCTTCTTGGGCCATGAAGCTAACGGCATGCGCAAGTGCGCCGTGCGTGACTGTGGCCTGCACTTCCACGCGCACTGTCGACGGCCCCAGACAACGCCAGGCGAGAAGCAGACGCTGGAGAGCGCGTTCGTGTGTCCGCGTCACACGTGCGCGACGTGCGGCGGTCTGGAGACCGACATGAAGCTGTGTCGGAGCTGCTCCGTCTGCTCGTACATGACGCACTTGTGCTGTCCTCGACGAGGTGGTCGTAACAGCAGGAGCAACAATAGCAGCAGCAGTTTGTCACTGACCAGCAGCAGCAGTAGCAGTCTGGAACCCGCGTTGTCGCAGAATCTCTTTGAGTGTCCTCGACACGACAAAGACAGGACCAAGTCAATGGCCACAGTGCTCAAAAGTCGGGATGCCAGTAACTCGCTCCGGATGCGACTCGCAGTAGGCGACGCAGTACTCGTGCTCGAGTTTGACAACGCGCTGTTACCGTCGAGCGTCAAAACGGCAGCCCCGGACACCGCGAATTACTGGGGCGTCGTCATCTCGGCGGAAGAGACGGAGCCACGTGGATGCGGGAATCAGCTCTTGAATGTGCGGATGTTTGCCGATGATAAGGTGCTCGTGGTGCCGAACCAGTACGCACTGCGCACGGCCACGGCAGCCGATTTTGCCCGCTCGATGGACTTTGTTCGTCATTGTTTGCAGCGTCACGCGATGGTGGAGCTCCAGCTGCGACACATGGAAGCAGGAAACGTGGATGACGACGAAGCTAAGCGCATTGTGCAGGTCAGTAACGCCGCTTTTGCTGCGTGTCTTAAAGCACTGGAAGTGACTCCAGCGCAGGCTACTAGCGACGCCGAGCAAGGGCTTTTGCTTTGGCGTCGATTTCAGAGTTTGGCAGAGCTGCGTCAGTATGACGGCCTCGGAGATGCAGCGCCAGCTTACTTATACATTGATACTCGTGGATCTCGCTTAAAACAGCATACTCCGAGCAGTGTAAAGGCAAATGGCGTCGAGATAGGCTTGGACAGAGACATGTCAGTTCGTGGCGACGCCGGCCCACATACCGGTGGAGCTGCTATCAACGGCGTGAGTAGCGGAATGTTGTACTTGAGACGACCACAGAATGCCGGAAGAAGCCCTCGCGAAGCAGAAGCTAATCAAGCTACCGATGCAATGCTGTCTGGCACGCATCTGATCCAATTGTTGCCGGGCGGCTCTCCGTTAGAACAACGGCACACCAATACACTAGGTCCGGCCTTGACAACGACACAAGACGCTCAGCCGGAGAACAGAAGTCGATCTTGGGCACAAGCTCGTCTCGATGCGGCTCTCTCGCCCAGTGCCTCTGCTCAGATGACTACTACTCACGGCAGTGCCGCTGGCTCGGATGTGAACAGCAATAAATTTACGACGGACAGTGAAAAATGTGCTGGGAGCGTGAAGCGACAGAAGTTGCACGCCCAGAAGTCAGCACGGTTTGGCGCAGCTGATTGTGCATCTATCGATGTACAACGCATTCGTTCAGGAGGAACGTTGAACAGTTCATCGACTTCAGCCACCACGCACATATCTCCAGTGGCGTCAAACGTGCGTACGCTGCGTCCTCAGATACGCAAGCTACTGATCAGAAAGCAAAAGCTGTTGGCCGAAACGCCTCCACCAGTGATAGAGGAGCTTGAGCGCGCGGCATTGTGTTACCTTGAGGAAGCTGATGGATCCACGCCAGTGCCAACATGGATTCCGACGGATGCAGATGCATTTCCGTGGGCTGCTCGTGCCACGAGCTTTCGTCCCGCATTCTACAGACCCACTGTGATGCTTGGACACGATAGTTTGCATCGGTCCGGATTCGACGACGTTAGTCGTTTGCTGGTAAGCCAAGACAAACGCAGCATCAAATGTTTTGTTCAGATTATTGAGACGGATGCACCGATGCCCGGGTGCTCTGATTTGGGCAAAGAGTCATCGTCTGTGTCACCGGGGTTTGTGCTATTGGACCTGCTGACCTTGCGCAGCTTTCATGATTTGGAGTCGGTGGTGCGCGCACGACTGGTCGAGGGGTTGGCGCAGCACTCGCATTACACTCGTGAGCATCTCGGTACGAATGTCCACCGAGCTCAACGTTTGGTGGAGCAGCAATGCCACAAAAAGACACGCGACCAACCGCCTATTTCCATAACTTACTGCAACACGAAAGGTGTCAGTCATCACGTTGACTTGCAGAAAATTTCTTCGAAGCCATCTCCAAAGGTTACCCGGGAGTGGCTTGGCTTCTGCGCGAACGTTCGCCACGTTTCGGTCGTAATTACCATGCCAAGCGTTGCATGTTCCATCCGGCCGCCAATTACGACCACCCTTCAGCAAAGTGCAGTGGCTAAGTAGTAAGCGATGCCAGCGCAGTGAGTGGGGCAGAATTCTGGCTCCACTAGGTGAGTCAATCATACCGGGAACATCACCCCTTTCCATCCAGGTAATCTACGAACTTGTGGCTCATAAGCAGTGGAGACGGTCGCTGGACACAAATGAGTGCTGCATCGCTTGGCCTGCATTCGCACTCGCAATGATCAGCTCGACGGACTCTTTTGTTGTGTGAGCGTCGATTTGGTCGACCACATCGGCGGTCATCGAACGTCGAGCATTATTTGTGGTCCAGAGCTTTATGGACACTACCTCCGGTGGCGCTTTGTAGTCAAGAGCATTATGAAAGTAAATGCCGAGATGTCGGGAAAGACCAAAGAGCACGCCGCAAGTGCTAATTTGTTGCCCAATACCGTCAGAGCTGTTTCGAGAAGCGGAATGAGCCGGCCTAACGTGTGAAGATGCGCGATTTGCTTGACGTGTTAGCTCCAGAGGGGGTTGTGCGTTTAGCCTTTGCAGACATGACGACAGCAAGCTGTCGTGGGGTGGATCATCGGCACAAACGGCTGTTGTTGACTAGCATATAATCATCGTGCGATTCCCGTTCCATGTGCAGTACAGATTTGACATTGCGATGCATGCTGGTCACGGGACGATGTGATAATTTTGCGGTGTACATCGGCCTCGTCCAGGGTCTGCTCCAGGCAAAGACAACGGCTCCAGCCGCCGCATGTTGTTGGTGATAGTGCAAAGGCGCTCACTCAGCTCTAAGTGTTCTGTTCCCCCACAGGCTGTACGTTTCGGCCTGTGTCGCACAGCGCGGGCACTCGCCGACGATGTCGCAGTCACGAGCTGTGCTCACCGCTGCCAGGGATACAACAAGATGTCAGATGTGGCGGCAAATTTTGCGATGGATACCAAATACTCCAGTACGAGTTTACACTCCAACCGAAAGGGACATCGCTAGGCGACTGGAGAATCATATCCACCTGTGACGCCAGCGATGGCGGCGTCGACTTTTGGTTGACAAGGATGCATACAGCCTACGAACGGGTTTCGGCGAAGCATCAAATGACGATCAGAGGACTGTCGGTCGCTTATACAAGCCAGCTAAAAAGGTGTCCGAGAAGGTGCTGGTAATGCGTGCATTGGTCTCATACTTCTGTTTATCAATGACTCCTAAAAGGGCTTGGTGAAGGGGACAAAGCGTGCAATTACAGCAATGGTGATTACGGTATGTCTGGCGCCAACGATTAAGCCTGCACTGAATGCAGTTACTGGTAAAGGTTGGGTATGCGTTCTCATGCTACAGCCTCGTATGAGCAGTCGTGCAACCAAGTGTGTTACGATACTGGAGGATCTTGAGGAGCAAGTGGATAGACTACAGACGTGGTTTATCGCTACAACCCCCACTTATAATACGTGCACTTCAGCAATCAGACTGTAATTGCTACGCCCTTACGCTCGCGGCTCCTGTCGTGAAAACCCTTTCCTTTAAATGGCCGCGATGGAGGGTGACTCAAGTTGGTCTCCCCCTACTTCTTGTCCCGAGAAACCTATAATAGTCTCGAGGTTGCAGAGGAACACGCTCATGCATGTGAGAATGGTTTTACGATGCCGTTGGAAATTGAAACAAAGTGGAGCAGTCCACTTTTGTTTCGAGAATACGTGGATGAGCTGTGCAAAGGGAGGAAAATACTGCATCTGGTCGTCTGATGAATCACATCTCACAGCTTGCCCGTTTTCGTGGGGACGTTTGCCTGAGATGTGATTCATCCTCCTTTTAAAGCACGAAAAGTAGACCTTGCATGCTGTCCGTGATGTCCACGAGAATCATTGGTGCTGCAGCGCCAGCTGTAATGGGGCGCCCTTTGTTTGGGGTGCCACGAAACTTCACGTACACTAGTACGTGCAGAGGAAGCTAATCTACTGAAACAGCTAGTTTGAGTAAAGGTAAAATGTAACGGGGCACCCTGAAGCTTGTACTGGTGACAGTACAAGCTACTTATTCTGATAACAGAATAAGGCGGTGCCTCGTAACTTCACGTACACTCGTACGTGCAGAGGAAGACGGTAAGAAGAAGCGAGTACTCGGTTAGAGTAAAAAGTAGAACTGTATTTATAATAGTTAATGTCTGCAATAAATCACTATTTATCTTCATCTAACTATGTCTAAATACAAATGTGTAAATCAGTTATCTGCTCACCACTCATTGCGTGCGTCTGTCGTGGCGCGTCTTCGTTGGTTGATATAATGGCCTATATCAACCAATTAGGAACTACTTGGAAGTGCTACAGAATATTGTCCTTATGACAATATTCTGAGAATATAACTCTTATAGTTATATTCTATTAACAATTTCTTATAAATTGTTATGTAACGATTCACCCCGTTACATCACCCCCCCCTTAACCATCAGTCACTTTAGTGACTGATTGACTAAATGGATACTCGTCCCAAATCATTTGGGACGGGGTTTGCACTTGTTGGTCCGCGTCCACCTTCCAACATCTCATCGCATGGTAAACAAGCCCATGCGATGCGCGAGCAAGGCCGCCGAGAGCGCGTCTGCACGTCTCTGTGCGGACGCCGAAGCAGAAACTACAGCAACTGATGTCCCATCGGTTGCTGAATCGACTCAGCCTGTATCACCTGGTGATGCAGGCGCTGGTCATGAAGACACTCGTGTCTTCACAGAGTACGAGCTCGGTGTCTCATACTCTCCTGATACGGATGACGGATCCGTATCGACGGCAATTGAATCCAAGCCGCCTGCCAAGCGTGGCATGGACGATGCTTTGCGTCGCAGCATCTTTGGTTCATCTGATGAGTCAGATGAACCATCGCCGAAGCGAAGGCGCTCGAGGTCGCGAGACTCGGGCGCTAATAGTGGTGTCGTTTCTCCAATGGACACCACTTCACAGCGAGGTGCCAGTACTTCTGTCGGCACGTCGCAGGAAGAGCGGGACCGCAATGTGTTGCGTCTCGCTCCAGAAAAGAAGGCATGGATGCCTCCTAAATCTGTCATGGATCACTTGTCGGCGACGACGAGTGATCGTTATCGAACACGATTGTTCGATTCGTCAAGGATTCATCACCTTGACCCCAGCGCGAAAGACTATCGCGCTGAACATGAGTTCTTCATCGATGCTTTCTTCAGACATCGATGGTACAGTGGGAATCACAAACGTGATGGTCCCTCACTACTTCAGGCGTGGAACGCCTACATCCATAATCTCGAGGATGTAGGTCGTGACGCTTGGAACGACAAACTTATCAAAGCTCGTGATAAGTTTGAAAAGCGAACCCCGACAGGTGCACGCTACAAGCTGCATCGTCTGTCAAGGGAGAAAGGATTACCCTGCCTCTCTTGGGGAGACTCGTGCCCATGTTGTGTGAACAACTCTGCACGAGCACCTAAGGAGGCTTACCTCCTTACCAGCCCGTGGTGGCGCGTACGTGTCTCTACTGAGATGTACGAAGGGATTGACAACCTGAAATCCCTTTACGACCGTGCCGGGAAGACTTTCTCCGGCGGTCCTTCTGCGGCACAGGATGTGTCGCGTCGTACTGCTCGACCAGACCCAGTACGTCAACCATCAATTGGGAGCGGGGCTCCCAAGAATCCCAGGACGGGGGATAGCCGCGCCACCGGACGAGGTAACTCGTCCGACGTCCGTTCACGTCGCGGTGGTTCAACAGCTGCTCTACTAGATAGCGCTGGCCACCGCGAGAGTCCTCTAATGGAGGTGGAGGAGGAGGAAAGACGCTCTCCACACGATCATGTGGATCGGTGTGTTCCCGAGAGCATCTTTGATCGCGTAACGCAAGGGTTACGCGACGATCTCGAGCATGAGCGGAATAGGCGTCTCCAGATGGTGGACACTGCCTCGAAGCATCGAGCTGAGTTTGCCTTTGCTCAGCTTGAGAACGAGAGATCTCTGACATCTCTTCGTGACGAGCTAAGGGTAGCTCGTGGGATTGTTGATCGGTCTCGGGCTGAGATAACTGCTCTTCAGACCCTTGTTGATGCCCACCATCGGGAGCACAAGGCTCTCTGCGAGATGCTTGAGCGCAAGGGCGTTCTTCATCGGAAGAAGCAGCGTACTGATGGTACGGCTTAAGCCGACCAACGTAAAACGTGGGATGCGTTCGCATCTTACGTGGTAACTCGATCGTGTATGCATTGCCTAGGCGGTGCAATACACGAAATGGGCCAATGTACTTGGGTAGTAGTTTACTGCTACCCAAGTTAGTCACTACATGTTTTGGTAGATTAACCGTAGACAGTAGGACTAAGTCACCTTTATTAAATAAAAGAGTGTTTGCCCTTCCATTCTTGTCAGCGTTTTGCTTTTGCTTATCCACCGCTTCGGCGATGGAGTCTTGCACAAAACGGACTACCGTTTCACGAGCCAGTATGAACTCATCTGATGACTCGTTAGCTTCAGTGTGCTGTGAGCGCACTGCAGCAACAACAACCTTTTCTTCAGTGAGGGCTTCCGCACTCTCACTGGCATCATTGTCTTCAGTGAGGGCTTCCGCACTCTCACTGGCATCATCTTCTTCGATATCGATGTTATCGATATCGGCATCAAACGCAATGACTTCTTCGTCAGAGCGTGATGAGCGTGAACCAAATCGGTTTTTGCTCGCGCGAGTCCCTCCCCCCCTTAAACCAGAGTTACACTCTAGTAAGGTGGGTACACGCGGATGGCGCAAGCCATTCACGTAAAACGGTGTATGTCTCGTGGACGCATGCACCGAGTTGTTGATGGCAAACTCTACCATCGGCAAAAACTCACTCCAACTCTTAAAGGAGTGTACGTATCCTCGAAGTATCTCTTCAAGGACACGATTGGCACGTTCCGTCTGACCATCTGACTCTGGATGATCAGATGTTGACATCTTCAAGCGCGTTCCGAGTGATTTGAACACGGAACGCCAGAAATCAGCAGTGAATCGTGGATCTCTGTCTGATACGAGTTCACGGGGCAACCCATGAAGTCGGAAGATGGTGTCAATAAAGACACAAGCACAGCCACTTGCCGTGATTGTCTCTGGTACAGCCACAAGGTGTACCATTTTGCTGAATCTGTCAACAAATACGAGAATACCCGTATTCCCGCGTGCGTCTTTGGGTAACCCGAAGACGAAATCCATTGAGATGGATTCCCAGCACTCAGCCGGAACCGGTAGAGGCTGTAAAGGTGCACGCAGTGAAGGACTTGACTTCACTCGTTGGCAGACTTCGCATGCGCGAACATACTTTCGCACAAACTGATACTGGCGGGGCCAGTAAAAGTCTCGACTTACCGTGAGATATGTTTTCTCTCGGCCACGATGTCCTCCTATAGGAGCATCGTGATACTCGAACATGATCCGCAAACGCAGATCAGTATCATCTGGAATGACAACACGTGGTGTGTCACCAGAAACGGCTGTATAGTACAGTAAACCGTTACGAGTAGTGTATCGATCTGATGCAGATCGATACGCAGACGACAATCGTTTCAACGATTCTCGAGATGGTTGGGAGAGATGTGACAACAACTTCACTATCTCACCATCTTGGGCGTATGCCCGCCTCACATCATCATACAACGTTGTAGATGGAACTGAGGACGTCATAACCGCAACAGTGACTGTCTCACTGTTGGGTTTCGCGACTGTTTCAAAGTCGGGACGACGTGAGAGTGCATCAGCGACGACATTAAGTCGTCCTGGTTTGTACTCGACCGTAAAGTTGTATTCTGCAAAGAATGACAACCACCGCGCCATTCGTTGTGAAAGGTGCGGGCTGTTCACTGCCGTGCGTAAGGACGCATGGTCAGTGTAAACAACGAAGGGTCTATCTCCTAATAGATAGACTCTGAACTTCGCGAGTGCATACTTCATGGCAAGGAGTTCCTTGTCATGCACTGGATAGTTCCGCTCAGCTGGTTGCAGCTGACGCGACTGATAGCAGACGACGCGTTCAACGCCTTCAAGATCGTACTGCATTAATGCACAGCCGATTGCGAAATCGCTGGCATCACAGACCACATGAAATGGCCTGTCCTGATCGGCTATTGCTAGGACTGGGGATTGTATCAAGCTCTGCTTGATACCCTCAAAGGAGCGTTGACATTCAGCGTTCCATAACCACCTCTCGTTCTTTTTCAACAAACGAGAGAGGTGTACAGTCATCTCGGCGTAATTGCGTGAATACTTATGCAAATACGCCGCTAGCCTAAGGAATTTTCGAAGACCTTTGACATCGACCGGCACGGGCCAGTCGGTGATCGCCTTGATCTTTTCGGGATCAGGACGTACACCGTTCTTACCAACGATGCACCCAAGAAGTGGTATTTCGCTTGCTGCAAATATACACTTCTTGAGGTTTGCATACAATTGATGCTTTCGCATGATTGTAAGAACTTGTCGGACGTGGTACTTGTGAACCTCAACGTCCGACTTTCCATCCATAGCTCGACTATGGATGAATACGTCATCGAAATAACTCGGCGCGAATTCTCGTACTGGCCTCAACAGATGTGATACACACCTGTTGAACGTGGCAGGGGCATTACTGAGCCCTTGTGGCATTACTAGCCATTCCCAGAGCATGCCGCTAGGCGTGCTAACTGCGGTATAGGGTATATCCCGTTCCCGCATTAGGATTTGATAGAAGCCATCCATCAAATCCATGGACGAAAAGATGGTACTCTTTGACATACCATCAATGATTACGTCCTTCCTCGGTATCGGCGTCTGAGCCGGTACCGTTGCAGCGTTCAATTTGTTAAACGCGTGCACTATCCGCCACCCTCCTGTTGCTTTTCGCACACAGAAGGTCGGAGAGCTATGTGGGGAAGTTGATTCCCTCACATGGCCCGCTGCTAAACGATCGGCAAAGAACTTGTCGATCGCAAGTACTTGTTCACGAGGCAGTGGCCACTGCTTCATGACACAGTACTTCGAGCCTGGTTTAAGCTCGACTTCGTGTCGAATACCTTTATCCTTCGGTAATTCGCACGGAACAGTTTCAGGGAATACATCCTTGAATTCAACCAAATCTTCATAGAGAGGATTTTCCTTGAGCGATTCCCATGATTGGGACTCATATCGCTCAATTCGTGTCTTTTCATCTAGGACACTCTCGTCCATAGATGAACTACTGAGAACTCTCTCGTTCTCAGTAAACACTGTTGCTGACCTTATGTCGGTTACATACTCGTCGTCAGCGACGAGTATGCAGATCTGCTTGACTTTGCCACTACGCAGATCACGCAAGAACCTTTTATGTTCGAGCGTTGGCAACTGAGTGATCTCCGAAGTTAACTTCGGAGGCGCAATCAGATCAAGTGTATAAGCGCCTACACATGATCCGTTATTGACTATGACATTCAATGTCTCTGTCATTTCCTGGGGACTTATTCCCTCAGGCTTCGAAGGACTTATTCCTTCGTCTTCCCGGGGACTTATTCCCGCGGGTTTCGGGGAACTTATTTCCGCCGTATTTGTAATCTTGGGACTTATTCCCTTTACTTCCTCTAGCTGGGGTTGCGCAACCACAGCGAGATCCTCTACGAAAGACTCTCCAGTCGATCTAGGATTATCGTTTCGCTTAACCTGAGCGATCGATTGTTTCTCTTCTAGATGTTCCCCTCTAGGGATACATCTTTGTCCCAGTCCACCCGACTTATTCGAGTGGTGGACCTTCGGCGCAGCCTGTGTTTCCCTCACAGCCGCCGGAACTTTGCTCCGAAGTGTAACCGTTTGGTACACTAAGGTTTTGTGCAGTCGTACTAACGACCGTACCACAAGTGAGGCCATCGCACTCACTCGTAGTACATCCACACGCTTGTGGACGCTCCAAAACGTTCATCAGATGGCCATCTGATGAACAAGCGGCAGGCATCGTTACTGTCCGATGTTGCCAGTTTACCCGTGGTTCGTACCTTCTGAGCCACGGTATTCCAAGGATGACATCAAATTTGTCATCCAAATCCAATACGATAAAGTCATCGTCGTATTGGGTATCTTCTAGCGTATAGTGAATCTTCACTATACGCTTCATGACGGTTACGGATGCGCCTGTCGCAAGACGTACGGTCATCCTCGTAGGAGGTGTGTCACATTCACTGAATTTAAAGTGACCATCTTCTAGCGATTGGCGTCGCACAAAATTGTTGGACGCCCCACAATCGACTAGAGCTCGAAGGGACAACTTATTCGTCACTTCGAGTTTCAAGGTAATGAGTGAGATCTCATTACCTAGAGCAGCAACGCACAATGTCTGTGTGTTGGGAGCAACCTTCATCAAGAGGCCTACAAATTCTCTTGACGTTGCTGGATCAGTAGGGTCCTCCGCACCTACTGATCCTGTCCGTTTTTTGACGGTCCATCCCGTTGTTGCGTCTTTGCACCAACTGCGGACCCTCGTCCCTGCCCCTTTCTCATGGGTGGACGGTCACTACGCCCAGTGTCGCGAGACACTGGACGAGGGGCACTACACTCGTAAGCGTAGTGTCCTGTCTTTTGACATCTGTTGCATCTCTGCAACTTCTTGTAGCCTGTAGAGCGAGCCTTCTCGCTCTCTACATAACAGAGTTCCATCGGCTCTGGACCTCCGTTGTCATATCGTCTCGGTTGACGATAAGATGTCGAGCTGGCGCGAGCCTGTCTCAGACTGAAGTCTTCCTGCTCCGCAAATTGAAATGGCTTGTTCTAGTGAATCTAGTTCAAGCCGGAACAGGTGAGTCTTGACGGGACCATCCGCAAGACCCTGCATGAACACCGAAACCAACGTGTGTTCATCCACCGGATTGGAACTTATACAACTCGTGAGATGTCGTATATGTTGAGCGTAAGCGTGCACATCACGCTTACCCTGCTTGAGCTTCAAGAGTTCGGTTCGAGCTCTGAACTCAGCTCTAGGCGGTTCAAACGTTTGTCTGAGCCGCGACTTGAAGACTTCCAACGACCCAAACGCATATGGGTCGTGCAGCTTGAGCCCCAGTGCCCAAGTCTTGGCACGTCCTGCCAGATTTGACTGGGCAAATGCAACTTGCATATCCCCGTCGTCGATGCGACGCGCCCTTATGGCGTCATCCAATTCGACGAACCATCTCAAGAGGGAGTCTTCTTCGACCCCCTATACTTTGAGATGTCAATCTTCAAAGTCTCGGGCCGACGCGAGTGCATCGACCCGCCAGCAGCAGCCTGCTGCTGTCTCAACAGTTCAAACTGTTGAGCACCTTGTTCTCTCAACAACTCTGCTTGTTGAGAACCTTGTTGGTGAAGCAAGGCTACTTTCTCGCGTTCTGCGTCAAGTTCATTTTGAATGAACTTGGCGATAGTAGCATGTTGGGCATCTCTATTGAGAGCCTCTAGCATGACGCTAACAGCATGGATGCCCATGGTCGAACCCATTCGTTCAACCGCATCCCATTCGACATCGCTCAAATGGGAGTAGCCGTCACGCGTAGCGTGAAAGCTTTGGTCATCTTCATCATCCAACATATTCATGTTGGATGTGAACGCGGTCCTTGGACGGACTACGAAGTGCTACCAGGTGTAACGGGGCACCCTGAAGCTTGTACTGGTGACAGTACAAGCTACTTATTCTGATAACAGAATAAGGCGGTGCCTCGTAACTTCACGTACACTCGTACGTGCAGAGGAAGACGGTAAGAAGAAGCGAGTACTCGGTTAGAGTAAAAAGTAGAACTGTATTTATAATAGTTAATGTCTGCAATAAATCACTATTTATCTTCATCTAACTATGTCTAAATACAAATGTGTAAATCAGTTATCTGCTCACCACTCATTGCGTGCGTCTGTCGTGGCGCGTCTTCGTTGGTTGATATAATGGCCTATATCAACCAATTAGGAACTACTTGGAAGTGCTACAGAATATTGTCCTTATGACAATATTCTGAGAATATAACTCTTATAGTTATATTCTATTAACAATTTCTTATAAATTGTTATGTAACGATTCACCCCGTTACATAAAAAGAGAACTGTGTTTAACGTAGCTAAGCTATAAATATAACTTCAGTCTTTTTATACCTATATTAAGCTATGTTGTCGTCTGACGACAACCTGCACACCACTCATTACGCACGTCTAGCAACGGTTGGTGGTAATCTTGATTGATATGTCTTATATCAACCAATCCTGAAGCAGCGCATGATTATTATCTAAAAGAGAATAATGTTCCTTCAATTTTATCCATCTCGGGTAATATTGGTAGGATATTGTCACGCTAGACAATATCCCTATTGACACCGTTTGGTGTCAATATCATGTAACGGACTACCTCGTTACACTAACGATCATACGGAGCGATACACTCTGCTCGCAATCCTATAGGACGGAAGTATCGTGGATCAAAATGTACAAATTCGCGATGTCGGTGAACTCCAAAAAAACCTTAGTGTCATTCGAAACGACAAACCGATGATTTTAGGTGGAAGTCGGCAATGTCACCCACACCGTCTAAATGGCACTGCGCATTTTCGAGCCGCGATAGAAACTTTATTTAGAAGTGGGAAGCTACTTGTTCTGACCGTCAACGCGACGGATAAAACGGTGCCACTCATTCAGCTAAAGGTAATGGTAGAACAGTGGTGGTGAAGCTGGCCGTGGACTTGATTGCATATACAAAGCAGGAAATACGGGATGCCTTTGATGCAAGGAAAATTTATGTGCACCCATGCGCAGTGTTCAAAACACCTAGGTTGTATCTAGACAAATCATATGGCTTGTAATATCTATACCACAAAAGTTACACAGATGATCCTCGACTTACGGCCTGAATACTAATGGAGCAGCACTTCGTTCGTCCACAAATTCTCGGTTAAAACGATCGCTCTCCGTTATCCAAAAGTTGGCTATGCACTTGCTAGAATGCACGGTAGCGGAGCTACTTAGCGCTCCTTAACAGATAAAGTTTTGGACTCAAAGAGTCTTTTTATTCGACAAACTAACAATGACGTACAGTCGTTTAAGCGTACAAACTTAACAATTTCGATTCCAAAGGCATTACGATTCACAGAATCACACATTAACTAGTCACCACTAGTTAAACAACACACTACGCCTTGGCTAGGCACTTGTGTCCAACGATTTAAAGGGAAACTGAAGTTTTTTATTCTTTTAGCTACGGCAATAAAACCCTTAACCTCGTTTGACTGAATCCTACATTGCGATCCTATGACAGAAGTCTGACCCCTTATACTAACCCTATAAGGTGCGATATTACCGTAAGTACGTGGTACCAAGACTATACCTCCAAGATCCACCGATCTTTACTTGGTGTGGACACACAACATAACCGTTTCAATAACCGACGTGTAACACCATTACATTTACGCACTCGGAGTGGACAACAGAGTATTATTCGTGATACACGATCATCTCCAAGGCTATACGACTGTAACAATGAGACGCCATCCTAATCCCGTTCCATTCAACATGTATATTGTAACGTCATATTGGCCCATCACATAGAGTTGTCTGTGTCCGTGTAAGTTTCAGTTCGAAGTGCGTATAATTAGACCGCGACCAGACTGGCAACATGTTATTTAGCCATTACACGCTGATGCTTGATGTCCGCAGCCGAGATCACGGCTTAAAGGTGTCCGAAAATACGCATGCTCTGGATTTCCTATGGATCCATGTGTTTCGTGCAAAATACTCGTTGGGTCGATTTCTCTACATTGTAGTCATTCATACGTCAACGTATAGTAGCCTAATGCTTCAATTATGACAAGAATGAGCGTATACAATAGTTATCGAGGTGGGAGATTCTTGTTGAGAATTTCAGTGTGTCACGTGAACGACAATGAGTGTCGCTCGTATCCACACGTATGAGGTTCTGCTGTCTTTTAAAAATGCTTGCTTCATAAGTACAGTAAAAACTGAGTGACGCGAAGATCGCAAGAAAAGCACAGAGATCGTGTTTGAACGCTTATGGATATCGCTTGAATGCAGCCAGAGGTTTCCGAGTGTATGTGGGGAAGCATGTCATGCGTCAAAATTTCTGTATGATTGCGGCGGTCATATAGATCTCTTAGACTACATGCACATGAACCTCGGTAGTTGCTAGTAGATAGCGGACATAAAGGAAATTAAATTTATTTGTTGCATTTGGATATATCGGTTGAGAAGATTGTGTTGGTTACTTCTAAAATATAAGCGAGATCGAAAGTTTTCTACCGCGATATGGCAGCGTCTGTCGTTAAGATACAGTACTGCCAGCTTTATGAAAATATGTGGCCGACGCCAAAGCATCGTAAGTCGCCCCGCCTGAAAGGAAGGCTAGAAGGCGCATCATCATTAAGTGGATACAGAAATAAAGACCAAGAGAGTAAAGTCGAGAACCATCTTCGTATCATTGCTAGCAACATTTTTTAAGATAATGATGATCCTACATAATGCGTAGGTGTTTTGATCGCTGCGCCTGCAACGGGGTGATTCCGTTACATAAATTGATACGAATGTATCAATTTGAGCATAATCTAGTTTGATGATATTTGATCAACATCACTGAGTTGAGGTGATGTTGGCAGAATATTAACTTCAAAGGTAATATTCTGGGAAGTTCCACTTTTGGTTGAAGTAGATACAGCTTTACAAAATTTACCATCATCACTGCTGGACGCGCGCAATCGGTGGTGAGCAAATTACCGGTATAGAAGATTTCAGTTCGATTTAGTTAAATTAAGACAAAGACGATTTACAAAATAAACTTAACTACAGTAAAATGCGATTCTACTTTTTCCTGACAGAGCTTCCAAGTTCTGTCAACTTCGGCGTGCTTCCTCACACCACATGTGCGTGACGTTGAGAGCACGCAGCTTTGTTTTCAATCAACACAAGGTCTTACGAGTCATCTGGTGAGGGCGTGCCCCGTTGCACCTGATAGCACTCTGTAGTCCGTCTAGCGAGCACAACCACCTCATCTGACATAAGCTTGGTGAATGAGTAAGGGAGCTTTCACGCCATACGTGAAGACGTTACCAATCTAAGTGACACCGAATGGAGTGCGGTAGGATGCATGAGTTCTACTGCAGGATGAATTGTCATTAGCGCCGTGTTGGAGTCTCTGAACAGAGACCAACAACATGCCGCTATAGCCAGGTCCGTTCATAATGAACTGGTCGCCGAAAAAGATGAAGTTGCCTTGCTTGGCCAGCAAGGCCTTTTTAACAGACCAAGCAGTTAAAAGAACTCGGTGCTAAACATACAGAGCTGTTGAGACAACAACAATTCAATGCTGCTGTGGGCGGTACGACTCACACGCGTCGTCACAAAATCTTAAAGCTCGATATTTCCAAGTACAGAGGAGTCGATATAGACTCCCCGTTGTTATGATTCGTCGTTCTAGAAAGAGCCATAAAGATATTTCGATTCGATGTTAAGCATATGAAATTCACATATGCTCAAACCGACTTGGCGAGCTGTGCCAATACTTGGGCCTTATGGCTGGAATCGAGCGACCCGTATACTTTTGAGTCGCTGGCAGTCTCTAAAACCTGACTCGAACAGACGTTTGAGCCGCCACGATCTGAGTCCAGGGCTTGATCAGTTCCTTGAAAACTCAAGTAGGGTAAGCGTGATGTGCACGCTTACGCGCAACATATAAGACAATTCGCGAGTATCATAGTTGCTCATCCAGAACATGAACACACGTTGATTAATGTGTTGATGCAAAGGCTCGCAGATAAGCCCGTCAGGAACCACCTGTTCTGCTTAGAGTTGGATACGCTAAAAACAATCAATTGCAAAGTGGAACAGGAAGGCCTTACGTTGATTTAGGCTCAAGATTGCTCTTTTCTTATCTTCTACCGAGACTACAAGATTTTAAAGGTCTGGAAATAACGAACCTCTGTTATATCGAGAGCGAGATACCTCTCTCTTCAAACAACAAGCAATTGCAGAAGTGCAATCTCTGCCAGAAGTTGTGACACTTCGCCCGTGGGTGTAGTGCCCCACTCCCAAAACTAAGCAATTCTGAGAGAATAGATCGACTTCTTAACGAAAGAACAATGGGCGTAGCTCCAAGACTATTTAATAAACACAACAGCGAAGCAGACCATAAAAAAATTGATCGGGGTCAGTAGGGGAGGAGCGCCCAATCTATCCAGCAACCTCATCAGATTTTGCGAATCGCTTTAGGAATCTGCTATAGATACAAAATCATTTGCGCCATAGAACCTGGTGGTGAGACAACACTCATCACATTGAAGTTGCAAGTGACCAATGATTAGTCACTATGTGCCCTAGCTGACTGTGGGTCGTCGAACAGCTTTGTTCGTCGTCAATCACCAGAACGTCGAAGGCTCAAGTCCGTTGAGGGTGAAATCTTTCTGAAGGAGATGAAGGTGTGACTTGCAATGGGCGCTTGGATTAACGGTAAGAGATGTGTAGTGGTAATCCACTTGATGCTAGAATATCTGCAGTACGACGACGATTTATCGTACTAAATTTGGATGACAAGTTTGATGTCATCTTGGGTT